CGATAAGCTTAATCCTGCCGTTTTGGAACGCCTTACAGCTTCTGATGAGACCAGACTTCATTAACTTCTCGCCGGAGTTGAACTGGATGATTGTTCACCTTCACAGCTTCTCCGTTGTATGCGCTATCTCGTAGGTTCCTCTAAAGTCGACGACAGCGTCTTACGTCAGTTGTGGCTAAAATGTCTTCCATCCAGCACTACGGCGATTCTCGCTGTATCCGCTGACGATTTGTCATTTGATAAACTAGCAGAAACGGCCGACAAACTTCATGAGTGTTTCTTTCAACGCCTAGTTTGTCACGCTGTTGTCACCCCACCTGAGACTTCCTCGTCATCAGATCCCATTGAATCCATTTGTTAGATTGTCCTTACCCGAACTCGCCGTTAAGAGAGGACGTCGCCTCCGCAGTCAAAGTTTTAGATGCACTTCGCGAAGCAGAAAATACACTCTAGGAACACTGTACAGCATATTTGCTATTATCACCGACGTTTTAGTGATGCCGCTAAAAATTGTCGTCCTGGTTGCTCTTGTAGTCCGATACGGTGCGCGAAATAAAGCGCGGATATCAGAAGGCAATTGGAGTCGGCCACAGCGGACTGTATTCGATGGGCTACAAAAAAACGCGGACGGACTAAGCGAAACAAAAGCGAACACGTGAGCGCGGGAACTTACAAGGCGGTCGAGTGTTAAACCGGTTGTAAGGAATATTAAAACAAGAAGGAATAATGTACAATCGGTCAACAATTGAATTGCGCATGAAAGATAGCAGTTATCTTTTTGGGCGCTACGCTCGCATCCGAAAGCTATCCTCAAGGCTCAACAGGGAAACGCCCCAGCCAGCCAGTAATACCGACGACTTCGTCTGGCCGATCTTCTAGTCGCCTGCTTTTTGTCCTTGACTCCACAACCAACCTTTCACTATTGGTTGACACTGGAGCCGAGGTCAGCGTTCTGCGTCGTGGAATGGAAAAACGCTACCTCATTCCCACAGAACCTACTCTCCAAACGATTAATAACTCGAGAATCCAGACCTACGGTCAGAAATTGCTTACTCTCGATCTTGGTCTTCGACGAATATTTTATTTCGTTTTCCTTATCGCAGATGTACAACACCCCATCGTCGATGTCGATTTCCTCACCCGATTTGGTCTTATTGTCGACTTCGTGATAGTATCACCTCACTCACCACTCCGGGCAGAGCCACTTTGATCAGCTCGATCGGACTTCGCATGACTACCTACTAGCAATGCGTTCACCGAGTTACTACAACAGTTCCCTGCGTTGTATCTACCGTCCAATAATTGTCCCGCACCTAAACACCAGATTGTGCACCACATCGTTACTCGTGGACCACCGGTCACCTCTCGCCCTCGCCGACTACCGCCCGATAAACTCGCCAACGCTAAGGCCGTGTTTGAGCACATGCTCCGTCTTGGTATTGTCCGGCTTTCTAATAGCCCATAGTCTTCACCTTTCCATATGGTCCATAAAAGGTCTCGTGGAGATTGGCGACCTTGTTGTAAGTACCGTCAGCTTAATAATGTCACTCCCTGACAGGTATCCGGTACCACATCTTTACGACTTTTCTATTGGCCTAGACGGCAAAGCAATTTTCTCTAAGATCGACTTGGTCCGGGGATATCACCAAATTCCTGTCGCCCCTGATGACATACTCTAGACAGCTAAAACCACCCCCTTCAGTTTTTTTGAATTTGTTCGGATGCCTTTTGGATTACGAAACGCCACGAAAACGTTTCAACGATTCATTGACCAGTTTCTCCGAGGGCATGCTTTTGTTTTCGCTTATATCGATGACATACTCGTGGTCAGCTTTAACCACGAAGAAAATCTCTTTCATCTTCGGCAAATCTTTGAGCGTTTTGATCATTATAGCGTTACCATCAACGTGGACAAATGTGTCATTGGCCAGTCCAGTGTTGATTTTCTCGATCATCGAATCGATCGTACCGGAATCAGTCCACTCCCGGAGAAAACAAAACAGAGTATCCGAAGACGCAGTTCTACAAAAGGCTGCGCCGTTTCCTCGGTATGGTGAATTATTACGGCCGCTTTATACCTGATTGCCCTTAACTGCTTCAACCTTTAACGGACTTACTTAAAGGAAAGACCCGAAAATTCAAACTCACGAGCGAAACAATAGACGCTTTCGACAAGATTAAACATGCTTTGTCTAACGTCACAGCGTTGAACCATTTACGGACTGATTTTAATACATCTCTCATCCTTAAAACCGATACGTCACAAACCGCAGTTGGAGCCGTTCTGCAACAACTCATCAGTGGTTATCCCGAACCACTATCCTTTTTCTCCCGTAAATTACAACCCGCACAAACTGGGTATAGTATTTTCGGAAGAGAACTTTTGGCCATCTATTTCACCATTAAACACTTTCGACACCTCGAAGGTCGTTCATTTACCATTCTAACTGATCACAAGCCACTTGTTTTTGCCTTTCAGGGTTCTTCGGACCGTTTTCCCCCTCATGAAACCCGACACCTTGATTACATATCGCAGTTCTCTACTGACACCCGTCATATAGACGCCAATGACAACGTGGTAGCCGACGCAATGTCCCGCATTGGAATTCACGAACTTTCACGTCCAACATTTGATCTAGAGGAAATCGCTGCTCATCCGGAGGGAGATACTGAGTTTATGCAAATGAAATCAAACCCTTCGATCAAACTTACTCTTCTGCCGCTTCTTAACTCAGACTCCAAAGTTCATTGTGACATGTCTACGGGTAACTTCCGACCGTACGTTTCCCAACGTTACCGCCTAGTCTTTTTTGACCATTTCCATCGGCTCTCGCACCCAAACATTCGGGCTAGTGTTAAGTTGATCACTGATCGCTTTGTTTGGCCCAATATGCGCTCTGACATTCAACAATGGGCAAAGCACTGTTCATCATCATTATCATCATTACACGTTAGCTGGAGGTGGAAAACACCTCAGCTATTGTGCCGCAATGCAAAATAAAAGAAAAGGAAAAGTGACAAACAGTGGCAAGCCCTCTGAGTCCCCAGTGACGGATGGACATCGTTCCGGAGAGCTAACAGCTGGCTGCCGTAAAAAGAGAATCATATTATGCCTAACAGGTGAGATCGTGATTGGAGGGGGATACTAAACAGGAGGGGGATGGGCAAAGGAAATCACAACACAAACGCCACTGGTGCACTGTTACATGTCAGACCAGCAAGATCCATCGTCATACAATCACTGTCCCTGGCACTTTTTCACTACCGGATGCTCGCTTCAAGCATGTCCATTTGGATATCGTTGGTCCTTTGCCCCTTTTTAACAGTTTTCAATACTTTCTGACGCGTTGATAGATTTACACGTTGACCGCATGAAGTGTCATTACAGGACGTTTCCTCTGAAACAGTAGCGCGAACCTTCATCGAAACGTGGATTTCCTTCTTTGGCACACCTGCTACCGTCACGACAGACAGATAGAGGTCTGCAGTTCACTTTTCGTTGTTTCGTGACCTAAATCGTTTGCCCGGTTGTTCTCACATACGCACAACTGTTTACCATCCCGCTGCCAATGGTTTGGTCGAACGCTTCCATCACCAACTGAAAGCTTCGATTACCGCTTCTCAGTCGAGCACGCAATGGTCGGAGCGTTTGTCAATAATTCTACTTGGTATCCGTAACACGGTCAAGGATGATATAGGCTGTGGCCCTGCTGAGTTAGTTTGTGGCACGCCACTTAGACTTCCTGGAGAGATGGTGCTGGATTCAAGGGTCACTGGAGAAGTGGATCCTACATCCTATGTCACACGCCTGAGGAGTCACTTCAGCTCGGTACGCCCAACACCTCCACGACTCATGCCTCCCGATCTTCGTGATTGTCACTACGTTCTTGTGCGCATCGAGACTGTTCGTAAACCTCTTACGCCATCCTACGAGGGTCCTTACAAGTTTATCGACCGCAAGGACAAGTGTTTTGTGTTGGACCGAAATGGCTGCAAAGACTGTAAGCATTGATCATTTGAAACCTGCTTACCTCGAACTTCTTCCGTCTCAGCAATCTTCAGACGCATCTTTTCCCGATGATGATCCATCGCCGAGCACTCCTCCTACACAACCTATGTGTGACCCCAGTGTCCTTTCTTCGCAACCCCCTGCAACCACACACACAAACGCACACGTTTTAGTCGTACGGTGGTTCTCCCTTCTAAACTAGCGTTTTACAATCAGTGAGACGTACATTTCGAGCATTCGCTTGCTCACTCACGCTCTACGGGAGGGGAGTCCTGTAGTGTTCCTATCTTTTTCATTTTTTGCGCTTTTCTCGTTTCGTTTTTCTATGCGTCTTGCACAGTTGTTTTAATTGACCGCTTTTTCATATACACAATTCTCGACCTCGAACGGCGCGTTCTGCTTTCTTGCGGCAACGTGTTAAGATTGTTTTTTTGTGTGCTTGGGAAGTCTGAACTACGCGGAACCAACACTGGAATATCGTATCAAGGAGTGTGCAATATCAGTGGAGTTAGTCCAACCGTCACTACTGAAGGTCAGCGTGTTGATACTTTTATCTGACATTAATCCTTTCCTTCCGGTGCGGTAGTTTAGTTTTCACTCCACTACGGTATCAACATTAACCCTGACAAATGTGTATTTGGCCAACCTACCATCGACTTCCTAGGTCACAAACTTGACGCTAATAGCACTAGTCTCGACTGATAAAACGCAAGCCATCAAGGATTATCCATCGCCTCGATTTGTTAAAAGCCTACGCCGTTTTTCCTTCGCAGGTAACTACTACGGACGGTTTTCACCTCGTTGCGCTGCCATTCTTCAACTAACTGATTTACTCAAAAGCAATCCCAACAATTTAACCTTTATTCCAGACGCCGAAGCAGCGTTGAACGCGGTCAAGCAAAGCTGTGTCAAGCTACTTCACTTGCTTACTTGAGAGCAGACGATAGCGTCACTCATTCTCAAGACAGACACTTCACAATCCGCGGTTGGTGTCGTATTGCAGCAGCTCATAGGTAACGAAATTCAACCCTTGTCTTCTCCCAGAAGCTACAACCTGCCTAGATCAGGTACAGTACGTTCGGTCACGAACTCCCGTGTACCTGGCTGTAAAGCACCTCCGTCACATTCCTGATGGTCGACGTTTTATCATCTTGACAAATCATAAGCCCCTTGTGCATGCTTTTCGTGCAACTTCTGACCGTTACTCTCCTAGATAGACTCGGTACCTTGATTCTCTTTCTCAGTTTTGTGCTGCCGTTCGCTTTATTGATGGTCCTAGCAAACTCGTTGCCGACACACTATCCCGTTCTCACATCCATCAGTTTCCACGCTGGCCCATCGATCTTGAAGAAATGTCTGTTTTCCAAACCAGTGATCCAGAATTAACACAGCTTCGATCGAACGCTACGTTAAAACCCTTGTAATTGCCTGTGCTCAATTCTGACGCAAGAATCTCCTGCGACACTTTCACCGGTAAGACCAGACTTTTTGTTCCACAGTCCTACTGGCTAGTGGTTTTTGACCATCTTCATGTATTATCGCACCCAAGTATTCGATCTACTGTGAAACTAATTACCGACCGTTATATCTGGCCCAAACTGCGCACAGACATTCGACAACGGGCCAAAACCTGTCTTAGTTGTCAAACCAGCAAGGTTCACAGATACACTGTTACAACTCCTGGTACTGTTTCACTCCCTGAAGCCCGATTCAAATACATTCACCTTGATGTAGTAGGACTGTTACCTGCTTCTAACGGTTTCACTTATCAGATGACTTATGTCGATCGTTTTGCTCGTTTCCCCCGCGCGATTCCCTTACGTGATATATCCTCCAAAACTGTTGCTCGTGCACGTTCAACGAAGTTGAATCGTTTATTTCCTTCTTCGGTGTGCCAGTCACTGTCACTACTGACAGAGGATCTCAGTTCACTTCCACTCTTTCATGACTTGAGTTGAGTACTTGGTTGTACTCACTTCCAGACGACTGCCTATCATCCTGCTGCCAATGGCCATGTCGAGCGATTTCGTCGACCACTGAAAACCGCCATTACAGCTAGTTCGCCTGATGCTTGTTGCTCTGAACGCCTTCCAGCTATTCTTCTTGGTATTCTCAATACCGTTAAAGGAGATATCGGATGCTGCCCAGCCGAACTTGTCTTTGGCACAACCTTCAGACTCCCAGGCGAGATGATACTTGACTCACGAGTCACAGGAGAATTAAGTCCGACGTCCTATGCTAAACGTCTAAAGCAGTATTTTTGATCCATTTGACCGACACCTCTATTAAGCACGCGCGAGCAGCATATACATCCGGGTTTACACAGTTGTCCATTCTTCTCTCTCCGCATCGATGCTGTTCGAAGACCCTTGACGCCGCCTTATGAAGGTCCATACAAGGTCTTAGCGCGTAAACCGAAGTACTTCGTTCTAGATAAGAATGGATCCAAGGAGTCCATGAGCATTGATCGCTTCGAACCCGCATACGTCGAGTCAACGTTGGATGGTTCAGAATCAGCCTCAAACACTCACAACACTCTTGTCCCTGGGCTGTTGCCCACTGACAAACGTCTGACCGATTCCCGAGCCTCGGAATCTTTGTGCCCCCCAACAAACGATTCTTTCCACACCTGTCGTGGTCATGTTGTATCACTCCCCTCCAAACTAGCACGATGTGCTCCAGGAACGCTATATCAAACGTTGCTTACCAGCGCACGCTCTAGTGGGGGAGATCGGTAGCCGTTGTGATTGCTATATTTTATCCTTGTTTTTATCACTTCCGTTACCGACCATCTTGTGCCATTTGTTTAAATTCACAAATTTTGTATAGAACAATTTCAACGCGCTGGCGTTATGCTACTTTTGTTTGCTGCAGCCTATGCTTGTGCTGCCGCCACTTCTTTCCAGTATTCAGATGTATATCTTCGTATCGCTAATCGGCATCGCACTAACATTGCCTGAAGGAAGGACTGTAACGCAGGTGTGCTTGATTGTTCTTCTATTGTGAGTTTTTACCTAATATTGTCTTTTGCCTCCGGACTCGAACTTATTAGGTAGCGATCTACAAACCTAACTCAAATTCTCCTTATAGGGGACTTCAGCTTGCACGCCCTGTATGTTCTGGCCTCAGCTGGCGAGCAGTTTAAGGATGAACTAAAAGAAATAGTCGCTGGCCTACCACTCCATTACCACATTACTTACCCTACGAGATTCAGAACGGGGAACAAGCCGGACATTTTTGCCCGTCTTCACCAAAGAGGAACTTAAGGATGACACAGGGACAGTGAGTTGCCCCTTGGGGCGCATTGATCACGCAACGCTGCCTTTTCGCTACGTCCGCTTCGCTGAACGATCAAATACATCACGACCTTTTGTCCTACCTTAATATTATCACTGATAGTTTCTAGCGGAACAACCTCTTGATGTCCCTTGGGAGTTCGTCAATCAGTTCGACAATGTAATAACCGACGAATCAGAGACTAAATTCCTTAGCACAGAATGGTCACCTCTTCTTGAAGAGCAGGACGGGGAAAAGTATGTCCATGAGGGATTCAGTTTGGAAAGCATACAAATCTTATTCAAAGGCCTGAAACTGGAATGCTTACATAATTGGGCGAAACCACTGGCAAACCTTTCTGCAAGTTTAACTTGAAACATCAACAGGATTTGGCGATGTTTCTGATGCAATCTTAAATCTTTATAAATATGCTAACTTCGCAAAGCACAGCATAGCATTCCGCTTCGGAACACCATCTGAGGGCAAGTGGAACTGTCTGAGGAGGTAAATAATAAAAAATACTGTCAGCTGTACGCCCTAACGGCGCTTCGGTGCCGCGCGACCACCACCAGTCGCTCGTGGGCTGAGTATACAGCGTGGACGTCCACCTCTACACGGATACGAACCTGCGACTTTATGGTTGCAAACCAGGTGCACAGACCATTAGGCCGGCTGATACTTTTCAGAACGTACCACCATCTCATACCATTCTAACACAGATCACATAACCAGGATATTGCTACATCTTTTCCACTGCTGCAAATGTGCTGAAGCGACTGATGTCACTACGCCAGTACGGTACACCTGGTCTTGATGACATACGACCCAGGTCACGGGAGGATAGCTGTCACAAGCTTAGTTGAACCGTTGTTTCAGTTTTTCAGCGCTATCTCGATGAGATGCAGCTTCCAACTATATGGAATCGTGGAATAGTCACGCCCATTTACAAGGGAGGCGTCCGTACAATGTACGCAAACTACCGCCCGGTTACTCTTCTTCCTGTACTTGTTAAAGTCGTGGAATCTCTCGTTGAAGAAGTAATATGGGATAGAAAAAAGTGCCATATCCTCGTGCAAGAGCAGCATGGAATCCGCCAAAACCACTCATATGCCACGAATTTTTTGTTAGCCAGTACTAGCTGGACGGAATCCGGAGAAGTAGTCGACCCCGCCCACTTTGATCTTTCGATGGCATTTGACCACCTTAATCACCGGATTCTTCACATGCTTCGAATCTACAGGATTGGTGACCCTGTCCTGAGCTGATTTCATTCATTCCTAATCCAACGACGCTTAAATATGCGGGTTCGTAGCATTATGTCTGACCCGATAGAGGTTCATTGGGGACCCTCTCAAGCCTAGGCACTATGACCGCGGTTATTCCTCATGTTCATGAACGACTTCGCGGGAGTATTGACGTCAAACTTTTTACTCTTTGCGGACGACCTCAAGAATGGGCGGACAATCAAGCGAATAGGCGACCGAATGTCACTGCAAGGTGATCTCCACGGGGCTTACGAGCGATCGACGCATAACATGCTCATTTCAACCTTGTGAAATGCAGAATAATGAACATACGCTATTAGGGCACTTACGAATATCGACTGGGTGAATACGTCCTGCAGTGCGCTCTCCATGAAAGCCATCTTGCGATGTTCGTGCAGAACGATCTGGGACGCTCAAAGCAGGCTGATTTGGCAGTGAAAAAGCAAGCCAACAACTGGAACTACTGCGTAGAGCGTTTAGCTAGTTTGATCCCACCATTTTGCAAATTCTTAGTGCTTATATAAGACCATAAACTGAATGTGCCATTCAAATGTGGCCACACTGGCAGGCACAACCTCACTGCTCTTGATGAACCACAATGGAGGGTTACAAAAATGTTTCTCCGCCCCCCCCCTTATCGGCTGCGACTACAGACCCTAGGAGTTATTAGTGAATAATATCGTCCTCGAGGTGATCTCATATTTGTGTATCATCCTCAGACTTCAACCACCCATGCCGGCCATTATTGGACCTCAGCTACAAAATCCCAATGAGAGGCAATCATTTGTAATTGGTGACACAGTATAGCCGGTTGGAATGCCGCCGGAACTTTTCTGTTTTAGTGTAACCCAGCCGTGGAACTTCTGCATTTTGTCATATCTGCTCCCACCTTGTCCAACATTAAAACTCGATTTGGTGATGTTCTACACCACTCACATTGCATGATTTTCAGATGTAGGGTGGCGCAAGGCTCGAAGTGGGCAAAAGTTAACTTATCAACGGGAAATGACTACATCCGGAGTAGAGAGTTTCTGAGCTGCTTTCTCCCAACACTGCAGTATTGTGTGTTTGTGATTGCACATTATTGACAAAGTATAGGCGCCTTGACCTTGAATGTTTGTTTAGAGGATTGAGGTTTTACGCTGGGTCCCCCTTCTTTCCTCGCTACTATTCTTCGTTCCTTAGGTCATCGTGAGTTGTACGGCAGCGAGGCCTCAGTAAAAAGCGCTTGTGTACTGCTGTTGATGTTGAGTTGTGCAGTTCTTCAGAAAGATCAGTAGCTTTATGACCGTCATAAAGTTAAACGTAAGGTTTTATACTAAGTTCCTCTTCTCTCCCTGTTTTTAATCTTCTTACCTTAGGTCATTCCTTATGCATGTCCTGACTCTTAGCTAGAAGGATGTAACCCAACTCCCACCCAGCGGTCGCCACCAGGAGGCGTCCAGAACATGAGCCCACAGCACAACAATAGCAGCAGTAGGTAAACCATCTGTCAGAATCTAGCCACCACAAACTTTAGCGCAACATAGGTTCTTCCGCCATATATATATATATATATATATATATATATATATGTGCAAGAGCCAGGACACACCAATCCGCATGAGTCAGTGAACTGACCATGTGCTAGACCCGCTGCCTTTCGGGTGTACATTTAATCGAAGGCTTTGGCTGAGGACCCGAATCGTTCTCCTGTCAGGTGTGGTTGCCCTGCCAGTATCCTAGTCCAAACCCCATCCTTTTCGGACGTTAGGAAGTAGTCGATGGCCCTCTTCTCTTAAAACCTAGCCACGGGAGACAACAGCTCCACGATTTATAAGCTCACAGATCGGTTGGCGTTGAATACGAGCGCCACGCATTGTGTCTGACGGTGGGAGGACACCTACGGGTGCTGAATTGTTTGCTACTAGCCGCCTCAAGCCAGGCAGCCTC